ATCTATCTATCTATCTATCTATCTATCTATCTATCTATCTATCTATCCGTCCATCTATCATATATACATATACATACACATGCATACACACATACAAACACATATGAGAGGGGGAGGGTCTCATGTAGCCCAGGCTGGCCACAAACTTGGTGTGGAGCCAAGGATGATCCTAAATTTTTGATTGTTTTGCCTCCACCTTCTCAGGTGTGCATCAACACATCCATTTTCTATGGCCTTTAGTCCAGGACAGTGCACATGAGAGCTAGGCGAACACCACCAACTGAGCTATATCTTCAGCCTTCTACTTGTGATGCATGTCCGTGTTCATGTGTATGCAGTAGCAGTTTTTCTTACTCTGTTACTATGCAATCTTTCAGTCCAGTCAGAATCCTGAACATGAAAGTCACTAAGACATACAGATAATGTCTTATAAAAGTGAGAGGAGAAGAAATCACACTTTATTTCAAAAGCCGCAAAATTAATATAAAACATTGATGTGAGGGAATGGAGTATGCATTACATTGGAAGGAACAAAAAAAGAAAGGAGCTGTGGCAGTTGGTGAGAGACTCCTCTGCCATGGTGGGGAAGGGGAGTCGGGGAGGGCATGGGATGAGCAGCAGGCACACAGCAGGGCGTCAGCTTTCCTAGATGAACACGAACTCTAAACAGACAGAAAAGTTAGCCTGTGCAATTTTTTATTAAATTTGGGGGTGAAAATGTGTCAGAAAAGCTTTCCATGTCTAACCTTCCTTTAGAGTCATATGTTGTAGTAAGATAAGTGAACGCGTTGGCTTTCATGTTAGCAACACATGCGTGCCCATTTATGCTGTTCTCAGGAGCTGGCAGAGACCTCAGAGTTCAAGTTAGACCACTTTCCTAATTTGTGAGATGAGGAAACTGAGGCCCAAAGTAGATCAGGTAAATTTCAGCACCATGGATCTGTTTCTTACCAAATGTTGGTTTACACACACACCCACAATTTCATAAAGGAACAGAAAAAGTAAAAGGTTGAAGTTACAAAGGTGTCTGGGGAAGGGAAGCAGCCAAGTGACGGCTTTACAAATAGTGTGCTTTTGTTTTAAATCCAAAACAGCAATTCAATTTGAGAATTGTAAGGTCATTTGATATTCACTACTTAAAAGAAAGAATTCTAAATTTAGACACCAAGGTTTTGCTTTAAGAAAAATCCAAACATTAGCTCTGCAAACCTGTGAGTACAGTTGCTCTTTATGATTGCGGCAGAAAACAATTTTCTGGGGGACAATTCATTACTACAACTTTGCAGATAAGGAATAATTTATTTTACTGGCTTCACTGTTACGACAAATTGTGCTTTTCAGTTATTAATGCTTCCGTTTTTCCCCTTAGACATCATTACTCATTTCTTTAATGTGTATGGTAACTTAAACATAATCCTATCTGCAGAATTAAAACACAATTAACGCTCGCTCTAGGGAACTGTTAATTCACACATAGTAGATTGTGTTTGGTCAACATGTTTTTTACATAGTTAACTATGATTATCTAACAAGAAATCTATTAGCAAGGAGCATGCAACACAAATGTTACTAGGAGAGGGAAAAACAAAATGATACCAAACAGGCAAACAAGTAAACAAACAAACAAAGAAAACACCTTTCAGATGATTCCCTCCAATTGCATACAAGCGATCGGTCATCACAGCCAAAGTGTGGATGGCGCGTTTTGTGTTCATGTCTTGTTTGCGGGCCCAGACATCCATGACTGGGTCATAGCAATACAACCATGGGACATACTCTCCATTGTGCACACCTCCTGTGAAGGACAGACACGTTTGGGTTACGCTAGTGCCTTGGACGGTGAACTTTGCAAAGAAAAATGGAGGACTTGCTTGCCTGAAATGTATATCTTCCCATTGTGCACTGCTCCTGCGTGGGCCGCCAGAGGCTGAGGCAAAGAGGACACGTAGCGCCACTCGTTTGTGTCCAGGTTGTAGCACTCTACGCTGGAGAGGTAGCCGGTCTCATTCCTCCCACCAATCACATACAGGTGCTTGTCCAAGCGGCACGCATAGAAACTGGCTCTTCTGCAAGGACAACAACAGCTCTCAGTAAATCTGTGGAATATCACATTGGAAACAACTCGATCGGCCTGTGAAAGCAGGGTGTTTGTATGTCTTCAAAGAGAGCTGTGAATCTTTGGCCGTTACTCATCTGACTTCTATATCCAAGACCATATACAGCAATCCTATGCATAACTCACCCAAGTTAACACTTTCGATGTTGAAATGCTGCAAGAGGAGAACACCACCAAAGCTTGGTGTCTGCTCTTTTCTTCTTGCTTTCTCTACACTGCTAAAATGTTCATTAATGTTAGGGGTGTTTGGTACTCTCTAAGGATATCATAGTTCAGTAAGACAAAGTGAAAAATGAGGTAGATAATGTAACAATAATAAATTATCTTGACATTCACTTTCTTTATGGTCCTTCAAGGGTCATTGTTCCCAATTTGTTAGAAAACTGCGTCATCAAAATTTCTCTTCAATTATCATTTTCCCCTCGTAGTATGACTGCAAATAGAATAACTTTGTGAACTTTGTATAGTGTTTCTATTTATTTGGGTCGTCCAAGATATTTGGCTTCTAACATATATATTTGGCTCTTCTAACACCAGTTACAGGGGTTTTGTCTAGGGAGCTTTTGATATTTAGAATGATTTTAGTTATCTGTTCAAGAGAGGCTACTGACGGTATTTGCCTGCTACACTTTCAAAGGCAAAATGTATGAAATTCACTGAAAGGATAGGTGACCAGTTGTCCAATCGTGAGGTAAGCTAGGTATGATTTAGGAAGGAGAGCTTGAGAAGCGGATATAGACTTTCAGTAGAAGAAATGGAAAGAAGTAATATGGAAACTCTGCTGATGGATGAAGATGGAAGACACAACTAGTACGACATGAGAAGCAAGAAAGATGAGAGGTTCAGAGGTCTAAGACACTCAGAGTTATGATGGCCAGACCTATGATGACAAGGATGGCATACATGTGGTCCAGTACTGAATAAACATTATTGGTAAGTGCCAAGGCCCAGAAGGACATGATTTACCCTGGATTGATTAATAGACTCTAAAAATTGATAATAAGGTTCTTGTGCAGCATCAATTGCAATATAGAGAGCACTAAATATATTTTTTATGAGGTCACCTATTTTATTTGGAGAATTTCCAAACTGCAAGTACGTGGCACCGTTATGAACAATGCGACTTACAAAGTCAGATGGTCTGGTGTGTTTTACTAGGCGTGTGACCTTTGGCATGCTGCATGACGTCTCTCATCCTCAGACTGCTCTCCCATAACATGAGGATAGTAAGAGAACCTTCTCACGGGGTACGTGCAGATGTATCCACGTGCTTGTACCAGTGTCCACCATTTGTTTGTTTTCAGAATCTGTAAGGTCATCTTTACCTGGATAAAAATTCTTTAAAAGTTGGTGCTCATCATCAAGGCTCTTCTATTAGTGCTCAGGGCCAGAAATGTTTTAGATTTCAGGAATCGTTGTATTTGGAAATATTTATATAGAGAAAGTGGGGAGGGACCCAATTCTAAACATAAAATAATTTCAGTTTTATTTGGACTTTAGACACTTACTCTTCGTTCAACCTTTAAACAAGGAGTTACATGCGGAGTATTCTTTTTTATAGTATCCACTGAATCAGTTAGTGCTGCCTTGTCCCTATGCACATGAGTATGAAGCTATCCACTGGACTGTGGGTCACATGCCTAAAAATGTGACAGCTACCAATAGCTCATTAGCTAGGCTTGGAGCTTTGAGCAACCCTCCGTCCCCCATGCTAGAATTCTAACAGGCTTGATCTTGTTCAGGTCTTGAGCATAACTACAGCTACTGCGATCATGTTCAGATGACAGCATTTCCCAATATTCTCCCCCAGCCTCCAGTTCTTACACTCTCCCACTCTCCCACCGACACCTTCAGCAACATTTCCTGGGCTTTCCCTGGAGGGAGGTGCATGTGGATGTATGTCATCGATGTGGCTGGGTACTCACAGTTATTTATTCTCAGCACTTTTACCAGTTATGAGTATTCACATAGGTGATTTTACACAATATTTTCAGTGTGCTTCTGGGCACCCAGTGAGCATGTCACCCGAAGTCACATGGAAATCACATTGGCTGAATTTCAGATCACAGATGCTCAGTTTGTGATACTGAAGTGATGGCTAAAGTGTCAGGTTTTCTCAGGTGATTTATCACCATTCAAGTGTAATACTGTTCGGAGATGACGCTGTGTTCACTTTTTGTGATAGCCTTACATCGTCCTGGTAGCTATTGTTGATCATTTTAGGCTCATATTTTGACTGTGTTCTCTTTTCTATATCTCATTAATGTTTTGAAGGCAGTGCATGCTGTGGATGATTTGGAAGGTGATAAAGAACAGTAACAGTGAAATAAATTAGAAGGAGAAAAGTGGGACACAAAAAAAGAAAGGTGAGTCAGATTTCATAAAGTGAAGGCTACCTTTTAGTTTCTGAAACTTCAATACTTGTGTGTGTGTAAGAGAAAGAATCTCATCTAAGTATAAAATTGGGGTTTTAAAAATTCAAAAACAAGGTTCAAAGACTTGGTCCATTGAGTCCTTCCACTTGAATAGACAAATTCCAATTGCTTTCTAATGAATATGATCTGTCAAAATTATTTAATGCTCTTTTATTTTCCAGTAAAAATGTTTCATTGAAAATAATGACATGGGTTTTCAAAAGACACACATCTCTTTACATCATGGACACAAGACAGGTCGGTGTACTTTTTCCAGGTAATTCTGTGATGGGTTTGAAGGTCTCTGAAATGATACATTTACTGATTGCACTAAACAGTCATCAGTGTATAATTGGGAATGGTGAGTTCTTCTCAGAACTGATCCAGAAGATGACAATCGTGGTGGGTGTTGAGATTGTGAAGGACAGGGGAATACTCCTTTTGGCAGTCTAAACTCCCTTTTTTCTATTTTACATTTCAGTTTTTTTATTTGGTTGTGAACTGTTTTTTTGCCCTCTGTTACCAAGTCAGCCTGTCAGAACTGGTTTGATAACCCTGTACCCCTGGCCCTATACACATAGTGGATTTAGGATCTAAATTGGAAAGAATCAGTAGGTTTCGCTTCCTGATTCAAAGTGCAACTTTTGTGTAGAAATTCCTACCATGATAGTGGTGAGTTTCCCCCAGATTCTCTCTCATGGCCAACTTGTGCGTTCCCAAAATGAATTACGGATACAAGGGCTCAGTGGTCTGTCAGCACTGAGTCCGCGCTCCGGGCTCAGATATCACATGAGGTGTTCCTCCTCTCCGTAGAAAGAACACACTTGGCTTCTGCTATTTTTTCTTTGAAAAGTAAGTTCAAGACTACTAAATGTTCTTTAGTGGAGTCACACTATTGTAAGTTCACGTTGTCTCCTCCTCCTCTCACTTCTCCTTCCTCTCACTGCCAGAAACAATATTTAGCAACATTAAAGTGGTTAACAAATAAATTCTGCTTATTTTAAGATCTTTGCTAATCCTCAGGGTGATCTATCAATATCTATCTATTTATCATCTATCATTTATCTGTTTATCTATCTAACATTATCGCCTGTCTATAGTGTCTGTCATAATCATCTCTACCCATCTATTATCTAGTTATCATTTATGACTCTCATTTATCATATCTACATATCATCTACCTATCATCTGCCTATCTGCTATCTGTACCTATTCATCCACCATCTATCTATCTATCTATCTATCTATCTATCTATCTATCTATCTATC